TATCTAGAAATGTATATTTTCAGCTTGTTTGAGCGAAAAAAGACACGTCCTTAGGGGCAGTTTGTGACGGGAAATCCGAAAAAAGAAGTATAAAAAAGTTTTGAGCTGAGTGGAAAAGACTAGACAGGCTTTTCTCAAAAAATACGATTTTTGAGGTTTTCCACCCGACCTCAGTTTTTTGCATTTTTCTCTCCAAAAAAGTGATCAAATCGAACTAAAAGGTGATATTCGTAATCAGCACGAAATTCTGCATCGAGTGATGGGCTTTTAAGGCAAGAATAAAAACATGCTCCTCTTTTGAATTAGCCGCGCCTTACATACAGTCTATCTGTCCCATGTATATATAAAACTATGTGAAGGGGAAATTCTATTCTAGATACATTTTCAAATCTACTATTACCGTCGAAGAGAAAGTCTGAAAATAAACATGACAAACAATCGGTTCAAAAAACAAAAGAACGCTAGGAAGTTGAATAATAGAATAAAACTGATTTTCTATATTAGTATCGTTGATTATTCCAAACGTACCTGATGATGACCCTTAAGCAAGGTCGAAAGGATCGTCGTAAGTAGCTTGGAATTAATCCTATACTCACCATATGAGAATAATCTGCGATGTCTGCTTAGTCTTGTTTCTTTTATAAGAAAAGGAGGCTAAGGAGTGATTGGTTTTATCTTGAGATGCTAGTTGGAGGTCTTCGGACTGTTATAACTTCTTTTGATAGAGTTAATCGATATGCAGTATCAATAGATTCCATCTTACCTGATGATGACCCTTAAGCAAGGTCGAAACGATCGTCATAAGTAGCTTGGAATTAATCCTATACTCACCCTCACCCTTGCTTAATTACCATTTACTGCACGATAACAAATAACAGGTAATTTTGACATGAAAGAAAGACAAATAGATTTTTTCTATATTGTGACTGTGTACATATCTTATCTACTTTAGCGCACTATTCTCTTGCCTACGTAGACGAACGAACATGGAAGAAAAAATTGGCTTTGAAGATAGTAGTTGTTCTGGACGAGTATCTCGCACTCTTAGGATTAGGTCGCAATGCTGAGGATATAATGGGACTTTTTCAAATCGACTTGGTCACTATCTGCAATTTTAAAAGTTCTTCAAACAAACAAATGTAATTTTTTATTTTTTGTATTTATTCATATATAGAACATGATCAAAGATCCACTGACCGCAGCTACTGACATAGAAGTCACTTATTTTCCTTCGTCATCATTCAACATTTAATTGAACAACGATCAACAGCATGAACTCTGTCACTCATCATGTATATCGTGAACCACAGCCTACAGTAAAGAGTTGGATCACAAGCACGATAAAAAATCCGAAACAAAAAATTAAGAATTATTTTCTCTCTTTTTTTCCTTTTCTAACTTGGATCTATCGATACAATTTAGTTTGGCTTCAGAGTGATTTAATTGCTGGTCTTACAGTCGCTGCTGTTGTTATACCCCAAGGTATGGCTTATGCAGGATTAGCTAAATTGGCACCACAATTTGGATTATATAGTTCATTTGTTGGTGTCATGATCTATTAGTTTTTTGCGACGAGTAAAGTAAGGAATTACAGACAAAATAAACCTTGTCTATCAAAATAATAACAAGTTGAGATTCCGTTTAAAATAAATTTCTAAGTTTTGATAGGATATCACTATTGGACCTGTAGCCGTGATGTCAGTACTAACGGGAACTATTCTGGATGATATTCATAAAGTTTATCCACAATATGAATTACATATAATTGCTTCTGCCCTTGCTCTTATCGTTGGATGTATTGTTTGTGCATTTGGAATGTTTCGTATTGGTTTTGTTGTTGATTTTATTCCATTACCAGCATTATGTGCATTTATGAGTGGATCAGCAATAAATATAGCTATGGGACAAATTCCAACATTAATGGGTAATAATAAATCTTTCAATACACGTCAATCAACTTATCTTGTCTTTATTAATTTTTGGAAGAATATTACATATTGTAATTTAAATGCTGCTCTTGGTTTAACAGCATTAGTTCTTCTTTATCTTATTCGTTTTATTTGCACTCGAGGAATTCGACGTTATCCAGATCGTGGAAAAATATTTTTCTTTATCAGTACACTTCGTACAGTATTTGTTATCCTTGTTTATTTATTGATTTCATGGTTAATTAATCGACAAGATCCATCTCATCCACGTACAGCTCTTCTTGGTAACGTTCCAAGAGGTTTTCAAAATATGGCTGTACCATATATTGATCGAGAGATCTTTTTAGCATTAGTACCATATCTCCCATCCACTGTCATTGTTCTTCTTATTGAACATATTGCTATTGCAAAATCATTTGGTCGAATTAATAATTATGTTATTGATCCTAATCAGGAACTTATTGCGATTGGTATAACAAATATTTCTGGTCCATTTTTTGGTGCTTATCCAGCAACTGGTTCGTTTTCTCGAACAGCAATTAAATCTAAATCAGGTGTTCGTACGCCATTAGCTGGTCTTGTCACTGGTATCGTTATAATTCTAGCCATTTATGTTTTAACACCAATGTTCTTTTGGATTTCACAAGCTAGTTTAGCTGCAGTTATTATTCATGCTGTTGGTGATATAATCGTTGGACCACGTACATTAAAGCAATTTTGGCAAGTTAGTCCGATTGAATTTGTTATTTTTTGGATCGGTGTTATTGTAACAATATTTTCAAATATTGAAAATGGTATTTATGCTAGTATTTTAACATCAGCTGTTCTTTTACTCTATCGTATTGCTAAAGCACAAGGACAATTTCTTGGTCGGATACGAATTTATCAAATAAAATTAACATCTGATAATAACGTTCGTTCAACTAGACGAAATATTTATATTCCACTTAATCATTGCGATGGAACAAATCCAATGATTAATCCAGTTTCACCTGGAAATGGAATATTTATTTATCGTATATATGAAAGTTTTCTATATCCTAATGCTGCTAATTATATGGAAAAAATGGTTGAGCAGATCTTTCGTGAAACTAGAGGTGGAAAAACTATTCCTTATAGTAATCTTGGTGAACAACCTTGGAATTTACAAACAGGTCGTCATCCAGAAAAAGAGCATCATCCGGATGACAATCGTCCTCGCTTACATGCGATTATTCTAGATTTTACTGGTGTTCCACATATAGATATAACTGCTTTACAAAATCTTGTTGATATTCATCGACAGTTAGATAATTATGCTGATTGGAAAGTCAGTTGGCATTTTGTTGGTTTATCAAATTCATGGATTAAACGTGCACTTATTTCACACGGTTTTGGATCTTCAGATCATGCTCGTACAGTTTTTTCAGTAACAAATGTTCATAGTAATCTTAACCATGAAGATGATGATGATGATAACGAAAGAAATAATGCACAACTACAAGACTATTCATCTACTGACCTTTCATCAAGTACGAATACGGTGCTAGTACCAATACTTGATATTGATCGACCATTGTTTCATGCTGATCTCGACGAAGCTTATAATGCAGCTGTTGCTAGCCTATCTGGACGTCAAAAAACAGATAATTCAGTTACAACGGTGCCTTAAATTGGACGAAATAATCGAGCTGTGTGTTTAATATATTTTCTATGTTTCTATTCAAATAATCTATTGTCTTTTGATTTTTTCTGGTACATTTCAACGGAAGAATAAATTCGAAAATGATTCCAGTATTTCTCTCAAATAAAACAGAAATTAGTCTGTGTCTCAATCGGTAGTTTTCTGCGATACAGACGGTTAAACATGAAAAGAAAGTCTCAATCAATCATATAAAACTAAACGAATTATAAATCTCGCTTCTGAATTTATTCTATAAAATCTGATTTTGAAATGAGATTAGCAGCAGAGAAGCAAAACAATACCGATGTTTACAACTAGTTCTTAGAAGAGTATATTATTCATTTTTCCACCGTATTAGTTCTTAAAATAAAGGAATAGATAGATAGAAATTTATATTATCAGAATCTTGCTCTTATTCCATTGAATTAAGTATTTCATCCACTTATAACATTGCTTTTAATCTGTGCAGTTCTTCTATTAATTTCGCTTCCAAAATAGCTTTCCAAAAAAATTTTTATATTAATTTTAAGAATGAAATAAGAAGTTTAATAGCATCTGCATCTTTCTTAGTCATTCAAGGTATTTGTTGCCGTTGTTTAGCTAATTCTTTACGAGGTACAAATGTATTAACTCCTTTTTCTTTTCTTTTCGCTTTATCACCAGTTTTGGATTATTTACAACTGGTGCTCGAGCGAGCGGCTCATCATGGTGGCATTGATATTGCTTTATCCAGTCGACAGAAAAAGAACATACTGAATGGCTGTGGCTTTGAGTTTTCCACCTTATCACTGATCTTCACCATCTGTCTCGTTAGCCTTATTTGTTGGATTAAGGACTAATTGTAGCGGGCGCTAAATTGGGCGTTGCAACTAGTCAAATTAGTTTAAATAATAATGCATTTATTACCCATTGCCAAACTAGTTGCAGCGCCCAATTTGGCGGCCGCTTCAACTAGGGCATTTTTCGTAACGTGTATATTATAGCAGCTAGCTAAAACGGTTGCTAAAGGGCCTGATGCAACGGGCGCTACAGCGGCCGTTGTAGCTAGCTTATGTTTCATTCTGAAATTACTAATAAAAGTAGCTAGCTGCAACGGGTATGGAAACTAGTGTAGCTAGTTGCAGCGGCCGCTAACCCGCTTCA